TAAGTAGCTAACCATAAATGGTAAAAGAAAATGTGAGACTGCGCATATGTAAGTGTGCACATGTGAAAACATATCGTCATTACTCTACATAAGAATATGAAAGCAACACTTATTTACTGCTCATATATATTGAAGGGTTAAATGTTGTACCCTGTATAGACAAGCAAAGAGAGAGAGAGAGAGCAGTGGAACTGCCTGATGTAAACAAACCTTAATTTCTCGCGGCTTTGTTGTTGTTGTTTTTTTACGGGGATTAGCCCACCCGGGCATAGGTCACTGACCCACATTGGGGCCTGAGGGGCAAAAATTTAATACTCCTGTAATAATAATAATAATTCAGAAAAAAAAATAAAATAAAACAAAATAAATAAAAGGCTGCCTATCTACCTACGGTGTTGGACAAACTAAAATCGTTCCGGACCACAGAATGCCGGACTAGAGAGATACATCCTGTATTATTACATTTTAGCCCCCAGGCCCCAAAGTGGGTCACTGACCTGTGCTCGGGTGGTCTAATCCCTATTAAAAAAATAAATAAAAAAATAAAAAGAATAAAAAAAAATGCTCACAAAAAACTTTCGGTTTTCAGAATTTCGAATAAAGGGTTGTCAACCTGAGTACTGTATACTGTACTGTAGTGCACTATACAGTTAACGAGCGCCCCGGTTAACGAGATTTCGGTTAACGAGTTACCTCCCATAAGATTCTTAAATTCGGTTAACGAGCAACCCCTCGGTTAACGAGTTTCTTACGAGCCGACCTCAACAAGTTTTGGCTTGCACTGGGCGGTCAACCAGCTGTAGTATTAGTCCGCCAATACAGTAATCGGTTCTAGGGCTTAAATTCCTTACTATTTTAGTAAATATCAAGAAGTTTATACTATTCAATAATTTTAAAAGTTTAATATTCAATTTTTTAGTCATTTTAACAATTATTGAACATAATTGAAGGTAAAGTGACTAGTTTAATGCGCGGCATCCAGCCTCTTAACACAGCAAACAGGTGTTAGTCTCTCTCTGTTTTCACTGGAGGTAACATCTTGCTTGAGACTCTCTTCAAGTAAATGCTTTTTTTCTGTGTTTCCAAGCAAATTATTGGTCATTTTGAAATTTATTTTACATATTGACAATATATAGCGCAGTGCAGTGTTATTTTAAAGAAAATATTCTTTATTTACAACAAGTATAACTTTAAAAAGCACATGTTGACAGTGTTTGAATCCAGCATGGGGCCTAAGAGATCAAGAAAAGCGATTTCAATCCAAACCAAGCAGGAAATCATAAAAAACATGAACAAGGCATTAGAACAAATGCGCTATGCAAAGAATATGGCATGTCGACATCAACTGTGTCGACAATTCTTGCACAGAAAGACAAATTTAAAGAAAAGAAAGTGAGACACAAATCTACAAGAGTGTTTAAAAGTAGATCCCTAATCGCAGAAACTGAGAGGTTACTTATCATCTGGATTAGGGAAAAACAGATGAAAGGTGATTCAGTTTCTACTAAATTCATTTGTGAAAGAGCCAGGGAGATTTACGAACATTTAAAGACAGATCAACCTGGTTCTTAAGGCACAGAATTTGAAGATTTTCGGGCCAGCAAAGGCTGCTTCGAAAAATTTAAGAAAAGAAGTGACATTTTCAGTGTTGTTAGGCATGGTGAAGCTGCTAGTGCTGATAAGGAAGGGCAGCAAAGTTTTTAGATGAATTTAAAAAACTGATGGAAGAAGAAAATTATCTTCCACAGTAAGTGTTCAATGTGGACGAAACTGGGCTGTTCTGGAAAGACCATCTCACTCTATTGCTTGGTGCCAATGCTTCAGGGGATTTCCGACTGAAGCCTATGTTTGTCTACCACTCTGAAAACCCCAGGGTGTTCAAGCAACAGAAAGTGGTAAGAACAAAGCTTGGAGTTTATTGGAAGTCCAACCGTAAGGCATGGGTGACAAGACAGCTCTTTAATGAATGGGCTGTTGAGGTGTTTTGCCCTTCTGTCAAGAGCTACTTAACCACCAATAAACTCCCTTTAAAGGCTCTTCTCCTCATGGATAATGCTCCTGGTCATGACCCTGAACTTGCCAGAAATTTGGAGTATCAATTTGACTTTGTGAAAGTGTTGTTTTTGCCTCCAAACACTACATCAATCATACAGCCAATGGACCAGAATGTGATCAGCAACTTCAAGAAGTTGTACATGAAGAAAATGTTTAGGAGGTGTCATCAGGCAACTTCCAATGATCCTGAACTAACACTGAAACAGTTCTGGAAGACACAATTCAACATCCTGGAGGCTGTAAAATTGATTGTGTCATCATGGCAAGAAGTCTCCACTAGATCCCTCAATTCTTCATGGAAAGCACTGTGGCCATCAGTAGTCCATGATTTTGAGGGATTTGAGGAAGAAACAGAGTTGGACCAGGAGATTGTGTCCATTGGTCAGTCATTGGGCCTTGAAATGGAGGAGGATGTGGAAGAGCTTGTGATGTCTCATGAGGAGGAACTTACTCCTGATGACTTGAAGGAACTGGATGAGATGTTACGGGTAGAGGCTGACAGTGGTGAGGAGGAAATTGAAAGTGATGACCATATGTCAGCTAAACAGTAGAAAGATGTGATTTACCACTGGGAGAAGTTCAGGGAACTGGCTTCAAAGCACCCAGATGTGGAAAAAACTGAACTAACTTTGTGTCATGTTGAGGACTCAGTGGTCTCCTTCTTTAAACATAAGTTAATGGTGAGGAGGACAGATGCCCCACAGACCACAATTGACACTTTCTTCAGTAAAAGGCAGAGGGAACAAGATGCTAGCCCTCAGCCTTCCACTTCAAGGAGAGAGGATGATGCTAGCCCTCAGCCTTCCACTTCAAGAAGGAGAGAGGATGTTCCTGCTGGAGAATCTGTCAGTCCAGAGGTTCCTGACATTTTCATGGAAGGTGACTCACCTCCCAAGAAGCAGTAAAATGTTTCTCCTCCACCTCCACCTCCTTCTCTTCTCCCGTCTCCTCCTCCACCTCCCACTTCAAATTCACATCATCATCATCCAAGAGCCTTCTACATACACACCTCAAAGTAAGTGAACTTTTCTACCTTTTTTGTTGAATTTAGGCAATTTTCGGTGAGCTGGAACCAATTACCCAAAAAACCATTGAAACAATGGTTTCGGTTAACGAGATTTTCGGTTAACGAGCAACCTGCTGGAACGGATTGTGCTCGTGAACCGAGGGACCACTGTACTGTACTGCACTATACTGGGAAGAGGGGGGAAGCTGGAGGTGGGGTATTTTGATTAACAAATAGTGTTTGGGTGAATTATATTTTTTTTATTTATTGAAGATATTTGTTTTAGTTCATAAAATTCATACAAATTACCCGGCCAGAATATAATTTACATTGCTGGAATTCTTACAATTTGATGATCATTTTGAATATAAACATCATAGATTTGGTATTAGACATACAAATTTTAGATCTAATGTAAATATTTTGTTTATTCAGAGCAAATATGTTATCTTTGTGCAAAATATATGACATGTATATTCAAATATTCCTGGTCTTGCAAGGAATCCAGCAATGTCAATTATATTATCCTAACTTTAGTTTGAGGTATTATTTATTACTATACCTTAAAATCTAGTGTTTTCCCCCAAACATTTCTCAGAGAGGGAGGAGCCAGCGAGTGTGAGAAGAGGGGGGGAGGAGTTGAGTCCATTATTTGAATGGACATTAACTTGGCGACTGTATTTCTCTATTTCTCTTAAATCTTAATTGTGTGCGTACCATCATAAAATTAAGATGTTATTTTTACTAGAACATAGGTATTGTGTCGGGAAAAAGTGGAGTTTGGGGGTCGGCCCGGTCTCTATTTCAATTAATCCCATATGTTATGTTGTTCACTTTACGCGTTTCTCGCTTTACGCGGGCCTCCGTGGGTTCAATTGACCGCACACTGTACTGTACTATACTATACTGCACTATACTGTACTGCACTGCACTATACTGTACTATACTATACTATACTGTACTATACAGTACTGTACTAATTAACTGTTTCAAATCAATTCAATACTGTACTGTACTGCACTATACTGTACTGTACTGCACTATACTGTACTGTACTGCACTATACTGTACTGCACTGTACTGTACTGTACTATACTGTACTGTACTGCACTATACTGTACTGCACTATACTGTACTGTACTGCACTATACTGTACTACTGTATACTGTATAGTGCACTATACTGTACTGTACTACTGTATACTGTACTGCACTATACTGTACTATACTGTACTATACAGTACTGCACTATACTGTACTGCACTATACTGTACTGTACTGCACTATACTGTACTGTACTATACTGTACTGCACTATACTGTACTGCACTATACTGTACTGCACTATACTGTACTGCACTATACTGTACTGTACTGCACTATACTGTATTACTGTATACTGTACAATAGTGCACTATACTGTACTGCACTGCACTATACTGTACTGCACTATACTGTACTGCACTATACTGTACTGCACTATACTGTACTGCATATATACTGTACTATGCCTGCACTATACTGTGCTATACTGTACTGTACTGCACTATACTGTACTGCACTATACTGTACTGTACTGCACTATACTGTGCTACTGTATACTGTACTGTACTGCACTATACTGTACTACACTGTACACACTATACTGTACTATACTGTACTGTACTATACTGTACTGCACTATACTGTACTGCACTATACTGTACTGTACTATACTGTACTGCACTACTGTATACTGTACTGTACTATACTGTGCTGCACTGCACTATACTGTACTGCACTGCACTATACTGTACTGCACTATACTGTACTGTACTGCTATACTGTATACTGTACTGTACTGCACTATACTGTACTGTACTGCACTATACTGTACTACAGTACTCTGGAAGACGGTCGTTCATCACCAAGACTCAGATGGCCACAACAGCCTCAACTTACTTGATTAAAAGCTCGAGGAAGATAACGTTGGAACAGCAGCCAATAAACACAAAGAATATTGGCAGTACGGCCTCCATGATGATCAGGTGTGTCCGGGTAAATCAACTCTGAAAAAAGAAAAGGAACATCACTGAGATATAACACAACCATTATGGCTACAGTGGAACTGGGGACAGTTTGGAGGAAGTACGGTACAGGTACTGTACGGGCAATGGCCGTTATACAGCAGCGTTAATGACCTCAAAAAGCCATCGCTAAGTGATCGATCGTATATTGATTTTAATAACTTATTGGGAAAAATAAGTTCCATTCCTGAGCCCCTGAAGAGCCCTAATAAGTTTTATATCCTGCCGCTGTAATGATTAAATAATGTCTAAATAATTCACATAATTTATAAACAGACAAAAACAATAAATTTAGCCAAAATAACGATTATTTTTATACCTTACAAGATAATTATGTACTGTACTGTACTTGTAAAGTAATACAGTAAGTTGTGATCCATCAGCTGTCACTACAATTAATTACAGGTAGACTAATGATATGTTCTTCATTTTGTTTTAACTATGTTACATGCACAGTACAATCTTTCATACACAATGTGCACAAAATAAAGTACATATTATGTGTGTGGGACAAAAAGAGCAGAGTAGACACAGGTATTAATAATCGTTCATACAGAATATAAAAAAATAACAGGAAATAATAAAGTCATGAATATAAAAGGAATAAAAAAAATTACATTCCCGGGAATAAAGGTCATAACGCCAACACCATACTTACCTAGTAAAGTCGTTATGGGAATTTAAAAAATGGCACAAATTATTAGAATTCCCATTATGTCCCGAGTGCAATTCCTGAATTTGCCAGATCCTGATACTGTACAGGTGATATACCAGGTAGAGTACAGTACACTCCCTACAGTGTTTAATGAACTCTTAATTATCACAGGTCACTCCACAGTGAACGTTACATTTGGAGAACACTTATTGAACAACTCACAGTTATATTGTCAAAAGTAAGCAATAAAAACAAATGGTTCTTACAAGTGTAACACTGGAGAGTCAATCTCCCCCGTACACATACATTAATCTCACCTCTACATTACTCGACACACTACAAACTGCAGATTAACCGAGGAATGAATGCAGAGTTGAAGTCGGGTCCCGTGTCTGTCTCTCCCAGACATTCAACGGCTCTTGTTCTCCCCTGCCGACCCTGTGTGTGTGGTGACCATACTGTGGGACTACACCCTATCACCGTGCTACTGGGATCTACCGGCCAGCTTCATTTGTACAGAGTATCAGTGCATGTGAGTACGGTGATCCCTCGGTTAGCTTAACGCCTCGATTAACGAATTACCTTCCATAAGATTCTTCACTTTGGTTAACGAATTCCTTACAAATTTTTCCAAACATGTTTTCGCCTGCTCACCAGCTGTAGTATTAGTCAGCCAATACAGTAATCGGTTTTAGGGCTTAAATTCGTTACCATTTGAGTAAATACAGTGGTATGCTATAACGAATCTAATTGGTTCTAGAACCTCATTCGTTATAGGATTAAACCGTCCCCAGCCCCCAAATACAACCACTTATCACTGAAAATTTTCTGAGGAAAATGTAAAAAATAATGGTATTTTATCTTACCTTAGTGTTGTTCAGCATGCAGGTACCCCTAAACACTGGCACATCACTATCACTTCCACTGGGAGTCTTGGCTTTAAGGTCCTCAAACAATTGTTTGGCCTTCTCACAAATTATAGCTTCACTAATGTTACCACCTGCCATTTCTTTCTCCTTTATCCACACTTAAGAGTAAATTTTCCATCTCTTCAATCACATTACACCTTGCTTTGCTAAGTCTTGATTCCTTAGCCACTTGCACAGTTTTTAACTCCTCTTTATTCTTCAAAATCGTACATATACCCTGTAGTCGATTTAGCCATCCCATATTCATCACTAAGTTTTGCAATGCTTGTTCCATTCTCACTGCTTTATGATTTCTTTCTTAGTTTCAAGGGTTATTAGCTTTCTCACTTGCTTTGGATGATTCATTGTTACAATTGTATGCTTGTATAACAAAATAGTTATACAAATAACACGAATTTCCACATCAGAAGACGAAATTTCAACAATAACAGTGGTGCACTGGTTACACAATGAGACAAAAATGGCGCCTGACGCTCTTTTTGTGAGCCGCTGTACAACAATATTCATGCGCCAGACAAAATAGTCCCATATTCATCCGCGTTCGTTGTAGGAGTTGCGTTTGTTATAGCATTCTCAATTTTATAGGTAAAACAGTTCGTTATAGGAATATTCGTAGTAGGATCCGTTCGTTATAGCATACCCCACTGTATCAAGAAGGTTGCACTATTCAATAATTTTCCAAGTCTTATATTAAAGTTTTTAGTCATTTTAACAATTCCTTAACATAATTGAAGTACAGGGAACTAGTTTTTAGTGCGCCAAACTACTTAACTCCCCCGGAATGGGGTCACTTTGTGTCTCTGCTCAGTGGAGGAAGCATCTTATTTGACTCTCTCTTGAACATAAACTATTTTACATTTTTACAGTACAATTATTGGTCATTCTGAAGTTTATTTTACATATTGACAATATATAATGCAGTGCAGTGTTGATTTAAAGAAAATAATCTTGAATTACACCAAGTGAACTCAAATTTTAGAAATGGCGGCATGGGTGACTCTCTTCCACCCCAATGCCTTCTCTCTTCTCCCTTCTCCTCCACCCCTATTCTAATTCCCATCATCATCATCAACCAGGAGCCTTCTACATACACACCTCAAAGTAAGTGTACAGTACTGCATTTATTCTTAGTTTGTATGTAATTTTCGGTGCGCTGGAACCAATAACCCAATATCCCAATGAAACAATGGCCTGTTAACGAACGACCTTCTGGAACAAATTGTGTTCAAGTAACCGAGGGACCACTGTATTAATATTCACCCTTATTATTTTGATGATTCATAACTTGTTTGTTAGGGGTAATAGCCATATAGGTACATGTATTTAGTGATAGCTTCATATTATTAATTTTATATAAAAACACTTGCATATTTTTACCTTCCTATTATTTATACTGTGTTGAGTGTTGTCATGTCAACTGTGTTAGTGTTGTCAAATATTCAATTAAACCACCAAAGTAAATTGTGAATAAAGTTACAGCAGAATATAATAACTGCCAGAGTTGAAAATACAAACAAAATGGTTTTTGTTATACAATTAGGCATAAGTATTACTAGGTATCATAATTAAATAATTTCCCCCAAGACACTTAACTGGTTGAGAAAACTTTTATAATTTTAAGATTAAAGGAAACTGTGAAGGAACTTTAACATTCACCTTGTCTACTGCTTAACACAAGATATACTACAACATACCACAGTCACATTATATCTATCTTTTTATTTAAAATTTATATCATTTTTAAAAGTTAGATAAGGAACATTACTGTGCTGCTGCCCCCTGAGACACTTTGGCATCATTCACTTGAGTAAGTTTGATATAACTGGCTCAGTCAAGGAACACAGTACAGTACTTCATATAACTGGCTCAGTCAAGGAACACAGTACAGTACTTCATATAACTGGCTCAGTCAAGGAACACAGTACAGTACTTCATATAACTGGCTCAGTCAAGGAACACAGTACAGTACTTCATATAACTGGCTCAGTCAAGGAACACAGTACAATACTTCATATAACTGGCTCAGTCAAGGAACACAGTACAATACTTCATATAAATGGCTCAGTCAAGAAACACTGTATAAGCTTATTCAGCCCTTACTAGCTCCAATATGTCTTACTTGGCTGCTAGTATCAAAAATTCCAATTTCAGCAAACAACAGCTGACTGGATGATAATGGGAGTCCAATGGACTCTCATACAGGACGCCACAAAATGAATAAGCAAGGAGACCACCAGGAAGCTAGAAGAGGCTGGACCGGGCCCTGACCAGCTAAGGAGATTAAAAGAAGCTTTGGAATTCTCAAAGAAGGGGAAATAAGTGACTTACAAGCAAAAGTTGAACGTTGAAGCCAAAGAGAACCGAACACCTTAAGACTCCATAGTTCAACAGCTGTGTGAGGAGAATTCTGCTCCAAGCAGAACTAATGACAACAGCAGACCCAGATTATTTGATGACATAGCGCAAACAAATCCCTCAGGATTGCCGGTATCCCCTGAAGACATCCACTTGGTGAACTGGGAGTCATCCTGTTAGTACTTCACACTTGCTGAATGAACATTTTCAACTTCCTGAAGTAAAGTTTGAATTGTGGTTCAACGATCAGAACCCAACTCCCTCCCGCCCCGCGACATCATAACAAAATTCTCGCCCCTCTCTGACTGGACAAAGTGTTTTAACAACACAATAAACTGAAAGGCACCACTATCTTCACAACGAGGATCTCTGCCCAGGTACGACTAAAGTCTGCCTACAGAAATGGACCAGCTTAAAGAAGCCAAGAAACAAGGGAAACATTTGACGCTCAATCATAAAAACCTTTTGTTGTGGGGGATTTATGCGGACACCCGCCCCACTCACCCGCCAAGCCTCGAGAACCCCTCCTACCGAGGGGAACCAGCCACTGTCGCCATTTACTATGAGCTTCCCCCCGTCGCCAACCATCAAGTACTACACGCCTACCCTCTGTGGTGAAAACCAGCACCCTGAAACCCGTGAGGACAGGAGCTAATCTCCACTCCATCTGGGAATCACCCTCAAAAGTTATCCTAATTCTGCTGGTTGTAGCACTCTTGTGAGCACGCTACTCCCCACCATTATAATGTTCATAGATCTTCCTTTTTCAAGCACCTCAGGTGACCCTGAGTTTTTATCGTTCCTTAATCGCATCACTGTTCCCACAATGATGATGCTAGTGTCACCCATGGTGTCGCATAATAACACTCCCTCATATTGATCCTGATGCCTTTACAAAACCTCACTGGGTTACACTAACCCAAACTGTAACTATTATTTTCTCTGACTCTGAGTTTAAAGCCCTAGTCTCCTACCACCTCATTCTTCACTTTGATTAGCCATAACATCAGCATTCCCTTCATCTAGATACCTTTTTGGATCAGGAAA